TCGCAAGGTTCGTAGGTCTTAAACCAACTTACGTACGTTTCGTAATTAATCAATTATCGAGATAACAAGGAATAAAAAATGTATCCATTTCTACGTTTCTAATGGTACAAAATTAGCTGAAAGCAAATTTGTCAATAGCTGAGTGTCCGAGCGTGATCAGCTGATCAATTACGTATCTAAGGTTGATTTTTAAGGCCTATACCAACCTTTTGATTAAAATCAAGAAATCCGGAACCGATTTCGGGGCAGGCTTATTATTCATGCGTGGACGCGCTTCCGTCGGCCGTAACACGCGTATCCCACTTTCCCCCCTCTCTCTCTCTCTCTCTCTCTTTCGCTTGCTCGCTCGCCAGAGTATGCTCACGCGTAGCCGGAAGGACACGTGAACTTTTGACCCGACGACCCGAGACTTTAGCTTTAGCAATATTCATAAATTCATAACGTGGCGCTCGGTTGGCGGCGACGGCGGTAGTGGTGGTAGTGGTAGCGCTCGGCCAACGAATTTACTGGGAACGGAGCTCGACGATGTCCGCGACTTTGTTCGCTTTAGCCGCAATGAATATTTACTTCACGCTCTTTCGCTCTCGTTTTTCGGAAATTAATTAAAGACGGCTGTAATAAACGACGGCGACGACGGGCGCGAGTAACACGCGATGCGCGGCCAATTTTTTCCTCCTTCCTCTCTCTCTCTCTCTCTCCCTCTCTCTCCCTCTCTCTCTCTCTCTCTCTCTCTCTCTCTTGGCGCTCCTGCCGCTGCTCGCGCGAGTACTCGCCGGAGCGTTTTTCGCCGAGGCAGTTTCGGCGGCCCGTTCGGCACTTGCTTTTTCCACTCAGCTCTCGAGCGCTCGGCACCGCGCGTTGCGCTCTCTTGTTGCGACCACGATATTCCGGGCAATTGCCGCTTCGTTTCGACAGCCGGGGGGGGGGAGGGGGGGCATCGAACAATGGCGGAAACTCGGGCGAAGCGTGGCCGTTAAGCAGTTAACACCCGACTGCAGCGGGAGCGAATGGGATTTCAGGCGATCGCCGGCGACTCGTCTCAACAGCGCGAGTCAGCTCGCTCAACGAAATAAAGGACTCCTCGAGAAAAATCAGTTGGCTCGTCGTTGGCCGCAGTTCGCAGCGGTGAACGCGTTAATTCGGACGCACCTCCCGCTCACGCACCTGCAGCCGCGCGCACCTCGCGGCTCGATGACTGGCTTCGGACAAGCGGAGTTCGCGCCGTTCGCGGCTGACCAATGAGCGACTTGGACTACTCTCGCGACGAGCGCGGCATCGGCATCCACGGTCCGCAGCCGGAGAGCGTCGGAGAGGAGAGAGTTCCCGGCAACTGGCCGCCTCTATTCTCTCCGAAAGCGACTGATATCCGCACTCGCAGGGACCCGCGGAAGCAGAAGTCATCGGACCGCGAACGAGCGCGGCGAGTCGGAGCGGAGAGAGCAATCGATACTCCCGTGATACGAGACGGGTGTAACTCGCTCGGCAGAGACGTCACGCGAACGTCGTCGCGGTTAACAAGTGCACGCACGCAGCCAGCCAGGTAGACCCAGGTACACGCAGGCACGCGTCTTGCGTGCCTCCGCTCGATGTTTCGCTCGGTTACTCGTTTTAAGAAGAAAAGCGAGGTCAGGTCGATCAGGTCAGTCAACGAGACCTTGACTCAGTGGCCGCGCTTGAGTGCGCACGCGTTGTCTCTCTCTCTCTCTGCTCTTTCCTTCCCCCCCCCTCTCTCTCTCTCTCTATCTATCTGTATCTCTCCCTCTCCTCGGCAATCCGGTGGCAATAAGCCAGGACCAGAAGGGGTGGTAGAATGCGCGGCGCTACTACTGGCCACCCGCCCCTCTACTATTACTACTACGTTTCCGCTCGCCGCCCCCGCGATCGTCCGTACGCCTACGATACTCCGGCGAGCGCTCTCTCACGCGCTCTCACGTGCACTGCGGCCGATTCTCCTACGCAACCGATTAATGAACGCGTCACGAAGAGCCGCCGGCGCAGCCGCCTCCGCGGAGAGGCCTGCGCCCGACATCGACGTCACCCGCCCGAACCCTGACCCCTGACCCGCCGCGGCGAGGTAAGGTCAACGGATAAGGTGATCCCCGCGCGGAGAATCCGGAGGACTCGCGCGGAGGACCCTCCCTCATGGATCGATTCATCGATCCATCGATCCGCCGACCCTTCGACAAGGGCGCACACGCTCGTCGTCGGTGCTGATCTCGCAATTCGCAGCGACGCGAAGTCGTTGGCGAGTAATTCGGGGTATTTGGAGGCCGCTCTCTGCTGCCGGAATCGCCAGTTTTTAGCGGGCGCGGACGTGCGAGCCGGCGCCCGCCAGCGCCATTAGTATGCATAACCGATATATCTCATCCTTTCGTTTCCTCCCTTATTCGTTTTTTCCTCGTCTCCTTCTCCCTCGCCCTCGCGCGTCCGCCCGCCATACCCCGCGTATCGCGTTTCGCGCGGCCCGAATAACGAGGACACTCCGACTCCTCCTCGGCCATCTCTCGCGCCCGCCACTCGTTAAGCCGGAAAGCCACCCTCGACCGGCGAGGGAGCGAGCAACCCTGTCGTCGAGCATCAGCGAGATCGATCATGGCGCGAATGTCGTGTGTATCTCGAGCGCCCGGTGAATTCCTACAATTAAAGGGCAATTTACAGGGCGCCGCTCTCGCGTTCGCTTTGAGCAAGCTCCTCAATTCGCGCCGGCAAAAACTTCCTCCGCGGACGCTCGATTTTTCCTCGTTAGCGTCTGCAACTTACGATTCGCTGCTAGAAACTTCTAGACGTTCGGTTTTTATTTCACCAGCGTCCAAAATTCAGAAGACGCGCGGCGTCTTCTAGCGGTCGAAGTGCTCGACCGCATGTCCATGTTTTCCCAGCGAATTCTAAATTTCTCAGGCGCTAACAAACGTAAATCTATTGTCCGGAGGAAGTTTTTGCCCGCGGACTCCCCGGCGAATTAAGAAGCTTGCTCAAAGCGAATGAAAGCAGCGCCGTGTGAAGTACCCTTAAGGAAAACCGCCGCCTCTCTCTCTCTCTCTCTCTCTCTCTCTCTCTCTCGCGCGCGCGCGCACGGTCTAACCGTTCTCCGTTGCGATTCGCCGCTCCTCTTCCTCCCTCCCTCCCCCCGCCGCGGACACAAGCCTCGGGTGCTTTAACGGTGCCGCGCTCGTGTTATGAATAATTGTGTAATTTGCGGCAGGAGGGAGCGGGGAGCGGAGAGAAGTCGAACGATTCACCCCCCCCCCTCCCGCCCCGCGCCGAGTGTATATCGATCACACGTCACGCGGCGCGTGACAGCGATGTCCGATGGACGGCCTCGCTGGAATTGAGGCGAATTTTCGGATTTCATTTCCCCGCTTTCGACGCGGCGCGGCGAAACTGTTGCGCGCGTCCGCGCGTACACAATCGCGGACGTTAACGGCGGCGCGCCCGATGGCCGATCGATGCGAGATTTCCGGCGGACGTGTCCGCTCGGATCGTTTTCCGACACGCGGAGGGCGCCGGGAGGGGGGTGGGGGAAGGGGGCGGGGCAGGGAGGAGCGGCGATTGTTCATTATTCACGAGGTGCCGGCTGAGCGCGAGCGGTGCCTTGAGCGTCACGGCGGGTTATTTATACGTTGTTTATGTGGTCTCGGATATACTAAATAACCGAATGACCGCACGCCGTGGCACAATGTGGGAAAGGTCAAAGGATGCACCAGGGCAACGGAGCGCGTCTCTGTCCTTGAAAAGACCGAGAGAACTGTTCCAGTTGCACCGGCGGCGCAACCCCAACCCTCCCCCCTCCCCCCCCCTCGCCACCGTCCGCAGCCTCGGCCCCGGCCCTGGCCCTCTCCGCGGGCCGCCCGGCGCTTTCTAAAGTTTTCAAGCGCGAGCTGTGTGTGTGTGTGTGTGTCTAAGCTCCTCGCGAATTACCATAATCGGCTTTGCAGCATCGATTATGCGAGCCGCGGCCGCGCCGCGGAAGGTAGCGTCGTGTTCACGCTACGCCTTCGAACTCGCGCCTCCGCGAATGTGCGCGAATGTCGGCTGTAACCTTTCCCGCCGAGGCGAGGGCCAAATCGAGGCCGCGCTACCGCGAGGTCAGCGTATGCAAAATGTGTGAAAAAAGAAAGATAGATATGCACATGGCTGCGCGCGGGAACGCCGCGTCATCGTCGTTGAATATCCCCGAGACACGAAAGCGCGGCGGGGAAGAAGTTTATCGAACGAATCGAAGAGACAAAGGGCTGACTTTCAAGGGCTGTTTTCAAAGCTACTCTTATTTCGGGTGGGGGGAGGGGGCAGGCGTTACCTCCGTAACACGAGTTAGAAGTCTCTTGTCTTGGACAAGTTTTCTTCCATCTTCACGTCGCGGAAATATCCAAGGTGATGATGGTTATTGGCTCACCTTGTGTATATATATATATATATATAAAATCGCAATTACTTATCGGTGTCGGGATACTCGAGCGGATTTTTCGCCGGATATACGCGACGAATGAGCCGGCGAAAAGCCGGGGAGGTCTATAGAATTGCTCTTAGAAAAGAACTGAACAAGTTCAAGGTCCGGCCTGGTGTGTCGGAAGCACGACCTATCCGTTTGACCTCCGCGTGTAGCTGCTGGCCAACGGAAATATGTCACGATGAGGAACACTCGATGATGAAATCGGAAACTGTGTCAAGCGCGTCTCGGACGAGGAGGAGGAGGAGGAAGAGGAGGAGGGGTCGGATCCCAGAAGCCGCGATCCGAATTTTTGAAGAGTCCCTCGTTAGCAATCGGACGGAAATCAGTTAAGACACGGGCGAGCGATCGAATTCTTCTCCCGGGACTTTTCCTCTCCCCCCCTCTCTTCTCACGCCCCCTGTTGCCCTCCCTCCCTCTCTCCCTCCTCCTCTTCCATTTCGGCACGTGCGAGAGGACGCGCGCGCCTAACTTCGTGTGCTCGCGTTTACGAAACTTCAGCTGGCGCAGATAACGTTTATCTATAATAGAACGCGCCTTCCTTCGCTGACAAATGGCGCCTTATCGCAGCGATGTCGGCCTTTTCATCGGTCCGCCGCATATAAATCGACCCTTCGATAAGGGAAAGTAAAGTTCGCGCGCGCCGTTATTTAAGCGCGCGCTCGTCCCCGTCAAAATTATTCCGTGCCGTCTTATCTCCAGCCGCGTTCAATTTGCAAGCGGGAATCGCGAGCGATCCGCGATGGCTAACCCTCGGTCGACCGAGCTTCCACCTCGGAGAGGCGCGAACTTTCTCCCTCCCTGTTCCTACCCTCCCCCCTCCCGCGTGCGAATGTTTCGGCGGCGTTTCAACCCCGTTGGCGCCCCAACGGGATCAAGTTGGACGCCTCCGGGCGCAGCTCCATTTTTTCCCCACGGGGGTGTCAATGCACCATCGTCATCTCTCTCTCCCCCCTTTCCTCTCTCTCTCTCTCTCTCTCTCTCTCTCTCTCTCGTGGCACGTGCAACAATTTGTAAAATTCGCGACACACTTGGAAGTTTCTGGGAAAGTATCGATCGCAGCTACCCGCTACTGTCGACGGCGGCGCGGCGCGGAGCGGAGCGGAGCGGAGCGGAGCGGAGCGGAGCGGAGCGGAGCGAACTTTTACCGTTTTCGCGTGCTTCGAACACATCGACCGACAACTTGCAAAGCGCTCGTTAAAGAGTAGCGGGTAGCCCTCGAACGATTCTCGCGGACGCCACCGGGAGACCATGCGATCCGCGGCTGGAATTTGCGCTTCTTTCTTTTCTCTTTTCTTTTTTTTTTTTTTTTTTTTTCGAATCCTGAGTCATCGCGATTACGCGGAAGGACGACGCGCGTGTTCGAATGAAATGAGGGTAGTTCCTCTCATTACCTCCGCTCGTTCTCGAGGCGGCACGTCAGCCCGCCGAGAGACGGCGGGAGAGCTGGAAGGAGGAACTCGTTCCTCCCGCCCGTTAACCCACCTTCGCCTTTTGCGAACAGTCCGCACTCTGATAAACAGATATAAATAGCGGATAAGAGAGGAGCCTCCTCCGCGCAGAGAGGATAAGGAGAATTATCCTTCCATCTCTCGCATTCTCCTTAGAGACGAGACGCGCGTTTACGTTTTGAATTTTTAATAGCCTCTTTACCTCGTGCTACGTGATACGGTGTGTCTCATGCATAAAATTATCCTTACCCGTCTCCCCCCGATGGATGGTGATAGCCGGTTGTCAAAAAAGCAGCAACTTCCGAGACTGCGGGCGAGAGAGAGAGAGAGAGAGAGAGAGAGAGAGAGAGAGAGAGAGAGAGAGAGAGAGAGAGGGAGGGAGGGAGAGGGAGGGAGAAGGAGGTGGAGGAGAGAGAGATAGAACGAGCGGAATAAGAATGGAGCGTGTACGGTTAAAGCCGGATTCCCACTATCCGTCTGGACGAGACGGCGCGGACAGGAACGCCGCGGATTTTCCGCCGAAACGTGTCCTTCAATACCGCTGGTATATTCATACAGCATCCGTCACGTGCCAATCGTTCCGATGAAAAGGAAAAAGAATTTGATCCACAGCCGTGCACACACACACACACACACACACACACACACACACACGTCGGCTACAGGGCCGGCCGGCAATGACCGTTGCGGTTATACAGTATTGTGTAAAAGTGTTATAATTACAAGTCCCCACCCCGCGCAATTTACATAATATAATGCTTAACCAACTTACGCGCACGAGAAATTAAATTACAAGTTCCCGTTGATTAGCATATAAAACTTCGCCAGACTGCCTACAGCTAATGAAATATATAATTATAAATTTTCACCGGGAGAGAGAGAGAGAGAGAGATCGATAGACAGACCGAGAGAGAGAGAGAGAGAGGGGGAGGAGGGGAGATTTGCATTCGAGACTCAAGCAGAGACGCAAGTTGGACACACGCATGTGGCCGAGTCGCGCGTCGTGACGAGTTGCGTGTTCGCGGCGTCTTCGCCGATTGAAAGTCGCGAGTCGAGCGGTCAAATAATCAGCTGCGGAGAGCAACGCGTGACCGACGGTAAACGCGCGTTAAAGCGCGCCGGGGAAGTGCGTGTCGCACGCGCGCGATCTCGCGCGCTGCTGGAACCGTCGTCGCCGCCGGCAGTTCACTAGGTCGGCCTAGCCCACGCTCGGTGTGTTACGCAAGCAGAAGAATGCCTCGGGGTTGCATCGCAATCTTCCCCGCGCGGGACGTTGATCGTCCAGAGCCGCCGCCGCCGCCACCGCCGTTCCCCGCCTCCCCTGCGCGCCGGATATTCGATATATCGATTCGTCCGGCTCGACGCCGGCCGACGTGACGCTTCGCGACGCGACGCGACGCGCCGCGACGCGCGTCCTTGTTATTTCGTGCAACGGTCAGACGGTCGTCAGACTGACGTAGATGGAAATAGGCAGGCGCATTTAAAGCGCGCGTTTCAACGAATCGACAACGAGCGGCGGAGCGAGTCGCGCGAGGGTCGATCGATCCGCGATGACGCCGAATTCAAGGCCGCCGCCGCCGCCGCCGCCGGAAAATTCGACCTCGGCTCCACATCGTTATTTTATTTATTCCACTTCGTCCCATATCGGCATTCTCGCGGCGCGTGGAACGCGCGCGCGCGCGCTCGCTCGCGCGCTCGCTCGCTCGCGCGCGTGCGCAGATGGCCGCGCTGCTTTTGACAGATTGTGATCAAGCGAGCGAGGATAACGCGCGATAACGCGATAGCACGCGCAGACGGTCGTTCTGTTTGTTTACCTTTAAGCGCGACTCGGACTGATACGCATATATCGTCGGGCCCGCAGCGCCGCGCGAGCTGTGACACGGGCAACGTTGTTGTAGATGAATGGATACGCGTGTTTTCAGAGGAGCGTGCGAGGCGAACAAAAAGCCGCGAGCGCGCCCGATAAGGATGACTGTTTCGTGGAAATGCAATTTTTGCTTATTTACGGCAGAGGGAAAGAAAGGACGAGAGAGAGAGAGAGAGAGAGAGAGAGAGAGAGAGAGGTGGAGAGATGCATACACGCGAGACACGGCGAAGATATATGAAACGGGAATCGATAGCACGCGAAGATGGGGAAGGAGAAGGGAGAGGCCGCGGAGGAGGGGGGGCGTTTATTAAAGTTCCAGTTTGCCGTTCGCGCGCGCGGAGGATGCTGGAACGTGTCTACAGCGCTCGCCGGGTATACCGACTGACCGATATCGGTGATTACGTAACAAACATGTAATGTTTGGCTTTAACATGATGTAATTTAACTGCGTCGCGGATAGCACGAGAGAGAGAGAGAGAGAGAGAGAGAGAAGGTAGGAGAGAGTCGATACCATGTGCAACTCGCGCGGCCGCGATTCGCGATTCGAGGAAGGCGCATCTGGAGCGCGCGCACACCAGCACATCAGCACAGTGCTTTTAACGCAGCACGTGGACCGACAGTTTAGAATGAGAAAAGTTGCGGTTCCACCGGCTGATTCTATTTACGCCCTATGCAAGTTCCGAGTCGCGCAACTGGGTCGTCGAGTGGAATCTCTTGAAAGACGTTTGATTTCCCATAGTGCATCCCGCCGCATTCTCGCATTCTCTTTTTCCCCCTCCGCTCCCCCTCCCCCTCACCCGGCCCCCTCCCGCGCCATGCGCTCTTTCTCTTTCTCTCGCCCTTCCTCACTTTCTTCCGGGAAAATCCGCTGTTATTATCGCGCTGTTATTATCTGCGCGATACGCCGTCGTGTAAGAACGCGCGCGAAACGGCGAATTATCGCGTTGGCTGTAATAACGCCACTTAGAATACTTAATTGCTGTATACACGACCGGTTACACACAGAGGGAGAGAGAGGGATAGAGAGAGAGAGAGAGAGAGAGAGAGAGAGAGAGAGAGAGAGAGAGAGAGAGAGAGAGAGAGAGAGAGGGAAAGGAAGGAGGAGAAAGCCTGTAGGGTTTAATATTAATTTAGATACACGACGCGATATCTTTATCCTCGCGACGTGTTTAATCGTGCAGGATCGAGCAGTAATTCTCTGCAAACAACGGTCGCAGCGCTTCCGGTTTTGGCCTGTCCGCGCAATTTCTCGGCTCGCTTTCGCGTTGATGATTTCAGCGTTGTGACAGCCACGATCGATCTGAATAAATAAAAATGAGATATCTCGTTTCCGCGGCAGTCTGTTTTTACGGTTGAAATAAAAAAGCGCGCAGTGGCGCGCGCGTAGATGCACTTTATCGGGTTTGGTTTTCGCCAGTAACAGAGATGACGTTACGTTGTTACGTTGGGATGCCGTGGATAAATTTTAAGCTCGCGACTAAGTACTCTCGTGAATTTATAAGGCTCCGTAAAAGAGAAGAAATCGGTCGACCCGCGGTAACCTGCGTTCATTCGCAGTCCGACAAACTTTTGCAAGCACCTAATCGTCTCCCCTTTTGAAGCTGATTTCACCCCGCCTCCTCAACGACACGCTTTTCCGCTGTTTCAGAAACCGCGACCATGTGAACGTACAAGGACGTGCGCGCGCGCGACTACCCAACAAGGCGCGGCCTCATCGAGGGTGGTCTCCTCAACCCCCCATAGATGTCTTGTAAGTATAACACGTTAATTCGTTAAAATTAGTCACTTGGGGCCGTCACGTTGGATCCGCTATTTTGAATCTTGAAATTTCGTCACCAGCAACCCGAGAGAAACCCTCTTTTTATATAAAATCAAGTGAAGATATCAATCTTAATGAGTAATTTTCACAAACTCACAAAATTGAGCATTCAAGCGCCGTCGTATTGGACCCGCCATTATGAATTTCTCAAATTTGATTCCGGATTCGTAATTCAGCGACCTAAGAGACACGGCTGTGTGCGCCAAGTTGACGCGTAATTCATGGAAAATCGGCGTTGTCAGTTTCAGTGCAAATTTCTACCTCTCGAAATTTCATATCGCAATTATGTTATGACGATCTTTCCAAAATGGCGCGCATATTCCATAAGATTCGTTGAAAATTGACGGAGCCATTCATTGCGCTCGTGTATGAGTCGTCACCGGTTGTTGCGCTTCTTTTTTCCTCTCATACACGAGTCATTATTAGCGAACTGGTTAATGCGCACGTATACACGTATACGCGACACAACTCTCTCTCTCTCTCTCTCTCTCTCTCTCTCTCTCTCTCTCTTTCGAATCCGCACACGACGCGTGACGACACATCTCGAGACATATCCGTCGCAGCCTCGACTCGCAGCGCGCGAGAGCTCGCGCGGTTAGACGACGACACGTCCGCGCTGTAATTAGCCGATTAACGTTTCCGCGCTCTCGTCGCCCGCTGACGAGAAAATTGCCGCTTTCCGCGTTCCGCAATTGAGCGGAACGAGCGTCCGATTTGGACGGCGCGGCGGCGGCGGCGGACGACGGCTTTTTGTTATTATCACTTTCGTCCTCGGCGATCCTCGCGGGACGAAGCCGCCAAGTCGACGACGGGATCGCGTCAACTGCGCGGCCGGCGAATTCACGTGCATATAATTATACCGTTGATACGCTAGGCTGATAATGAGTAAACGGCGGCGGGTCGTTTCGATAGTCACGGGCGCAGGACTGGCTCTCGACAGGGGCGCAACGACGCGGAAGGCAACTCTGGAAATTGCAATTTGTTCGGATAACACGGGCTGCGTGTTTCCCACGGAAACACCTCGGCCTGCCGCGCCGCGTCCAGCCACGGCACAACGGCGGCACAAAGCAAATTTCAGCCGGAAAACTTGCGCATTAAATGACTGCCGGTGTGCAGCAGGCTTGTGTGGACCGACCGACCGACCGACCGACCGACCGACCGACCGTCTGAACATTGTTCCGTGCAATCCCTAGATGGGAGAGCCGGTCCCGTTAAGGATACAATATTAAAGCGGCCGGATACGCGAGCACGAAGTCGCGGCATTAAGTATCTATTTGCAGATAAAAAGAAGAGGAAAGAGAGAGAGAGAGAGTGTGTGTGTGTGTGTGCGTGTGTGTGTGTGCGTGTGTGTGTGCGTGTGTGTGTGTGTGTGTAGCACGAGCAAGAGAGGAACTTGTTCGATGTGCGATCCCTGGTGCCGTCGCCCCGGGTTCACTGGTCGATAAAGAATCCGCTGGAAATCAGATTTAAGTCGCGCGGAAATCCCACGATCGATTTGGTATTCCTCGCGATATCTGGGAGATATTACGCGGGCATGTCGGCGATCCAGTCGTTATTCAGCTTATGCTGCATTCGCGTCGAATCGATATCGACCCGACCCGACCCGAACATGACATCGACTGGATTATCGATAACAATGTTAGACGGGACAGATCACCAGAATCGAACTAGTTATACTTCCTACGTAAACTTTTCGATGCTGAATTGCTCCGTCTCCGAATTGCTTCGTTGCTGCGTCACAATGTTGAGAAATCTGGAGTCGGAGTTGCGGAGAGGGCTGCTTTCTCACCCTTCATCTTATCCTGTCGTTATTTCGTATACCGCGAAACGCGACGTGCTGGACGAGTTCCCACCGAGTGAAATCTACCATTTGGGATTTGTTAATTTTGACATATGAACTTCCTGTTCTCTCATATTCGTATTTCTCTCAGCGCCTTAAAGACCGTCGAGTTAAAATTGAAAGCTATCTGGCGTAAATCGTCAATAATCTAATTTATAGCTCTTCCGCGGTAAACCCCACATTTACAACCATAAATATCTTGTTAACCATCACTGACAGAAAGAATTCTTCTTAAGGCCTAAAAAGCGCCCCAACAACGTACTTAATTCTGACGGAGATGAAACTTCTCCGGCACGTCACATTTTGTAGTTATAATTTGACGGAGACAGCCCTTGTTCGCAGCTTTAGCTGCAAATTTCTCAAAATTGTTACGCGACGGAGCAACTCGGAGGCCGGTTTCGCATCAGCGCGTCCGAAAAACTACAGGAAGAAAGAAAGCTGTACCAGTCACACTTTGTCGAACTGCATAATCGACCGGCACCTGCGCGTCATCTTCCAGATATCCAGATCGATATTGATTTATCGAAACGCCATGCGGATCGAGAGCGCAGCGTCGATTCGGCGAAAGGAATCTGGTCGCGGGAAACGGCTCGGAAAATCGTCACGTCGATATCGATACCGACTATCGAGCTGCGAATTCGAGATGTGGGCGCGCGCGCGAATTTTCCGGATCTTCTCGCGGACGGGAAGATCGGGCGAGACGACGCGGCTTCGTTAGCAGTTCGCTAATTGCGACTCCAGTCGCCGATTGAGGGACCGAATGACGACGAGGCATTCCGGCGGAGGGGGCCAGGAGGGGGGCCAGGACGATGCGCGCGCGCGAAGCCGATGATGTAACCTCGGCTGACGGGGGCGAGGGGGGAATGCGTATCGCCATCTCGAGGAACGTTAGGAGAAGTCATTACGTTTGGAATACAAAATGCAGCGGCATCAAATTTAGATTGCGCTCTCTGTCTCAGGGGTACCGACCTTTCTGCATCATTTATAGCGGATCGATCCTACGTTCGCCCTCCTCTTCGCCCGGCCCCTGCTCGCCCCTCGTCGCCTCGTCGTCCTCTCATCTCTGCTCGCGCTTGGTCGTCCTGCTGCGTCTCGTTTTGGGAGTTCGTTAGCTATTCCGAGCTTAAGAGCTCCTCTCAACTGCGAGTTTCGTCACCCGCGAATCCCGATTCGTTCGCGTGAGAGACCGTCTCTCACTCACTAACTTTCTCTCTTCCTCTCCCTCTCTCTCTCCCTCTCCCTCTCTCTCTCTCTCTCTCTCTCTCTCTCTCTCTCTCTCTCTTCATCGCGGAGAGACCTTTATGCGCTTGCGAGGACACACAACTTACATTTGCGCCTGTTGCGCTAACGTTGCAAATCCCGTCGTCTTACATGATGAAAGAGCGAACGAGCGAACTGCCGCCACGCTCGCCGAAAGAGACGCCAACGCGGAGCGAATTGCGGCGACGTCGTCCCATCTGCTTTCGCGATGTATCTTCAATTTTAACGACGCGTCCAACGATCACGACCACGGCCGCGAGAACTCGCGGTATGTAAATGAACTTACAGGCTATATGTAAATATATCTGACGTACTCTCGATGTATCTCACGAGATGGCTGAGGCTTAATCGCCTCGACGAGGAGGAGATAAAGAGGGACGGCTAGAGTGGGGGGGAGGAACGGCTGTTACTTTTTGCCGACGGAACGCGGCAATGCGGGTCGATGATTTATCGCCGTTGACGAGGAGAGAATGTGAAGAAAAAGAGAGAGAGAGAGAGAGAGAGAGAGAGAGAGAGAGAGAGAGAGAGAGAGAGAGAGCAAGCACGAGCCAACCAGCGGAATCGTAACGCGAACTACTCCGTCCGGGAGAAGCGTCGCGCATCGCTTAATCCGCCGGTCGATATTTTTAAGCCCGCATTCAATGGCGAACGAAATTAGCGGACGCGGCGGCATCGACAGCCACCTCGTTCTCGTCTGTCACGCGAGAGTTCCCGCGATAAATTTGTACCGCGGCAATTTGGCGTCTCGTGTAAATGTCAGAGTCGGCTGCGTGATTATCGACCGCGAGCCCGACACGGCGGTGATTTGAAATTGTTGCAACTTGTTCGGCGGGAATGAAGCCCCGACAGCGTAGCGCGAGCGCGAAAGTTCCCGTCAATCTTACGATTCCCGGATTTTTTCCACGCCGGCAGAACGTTTTATCGCGCGTTTGATCGGTTGTACGTGTTGTGTGTGTGTGTGTGTGTGTGCGTATGTGCGCGCGCGTGCGCGCAAGCAAAATTCGTGCGCACAATGCGCTTTTGCATCGCCGACATTGCGGTGAAAACGAGTCTTTGTCGAGGAGAAATAAAAATCGCAATGCCCCACGTTGGCGCGTCTCGTCTCCCAGTCGTCCTGCCGCTCGCCGACCGAAATCCTGCCCAGCTCGTCTCAAGAGCGACCGTGCGCTATTTTTCGCCCTAAGCTTTTCGCGATCGATCAAGTAAGTTATTGTCAATGTTGACACAAATAGGTAGACCCAAAGCGTTTGTTAACACGTTACGGACGGATGACGAGACATTTCGCGTCTCTAAATGTATCAATCAAGAGCGGATCTGACGCAGCGACAAGCTGCAAGTTGGCAACAGTTGTAAGTTTTTTGATGATTTGTAACGTGAATTAATTTCCTAAACCGTTTAAGCGTGAATAGTGACGAAGCAATTAACGACATCGCAGAAGCGTTTTGCGGCCAATTTAGCGGGCGCAGAAGTGGCGATGAGAGAAAATGTAGACACTGCAGCAATTTTTAACTACTGACGAACCATAAATAATAAAAAAAAATATTCGAAGCAAATAAAAAGTTGGGTATGATAGAGCGATAGGGCAACTAGTCCGCAGTGCGTTAACATTCTAAGATTAGCTGTCGAAGAACGTGAATTGCGCGATGTGGAAAAGAAAATAAAAGCCACACGCAAGAAGCGCAATGTGGAAAAGAAAATATAGACAAGGAAATAAGAGAAAACGTACACCGGAAAAACACCGGAAAAAATAACGAAGGAGAAACCAAAGAAAAGAAACAGAAAGTAATCGATGCAACAGACGCGTGTGTCCCACGCGAACGCCATGAATGAGATGCCAAACGCGAGAAGTTCTAAGGACCTCGTTGCACGCCGGGACGCGAGCGTAAGGACACGGTTGCTCTTTCGCTGCAGATCGAAGTAGAGTCCCGACTTCACCGACTTTTCCCTAATTTTCTCGCTAAACTGCTCGGAAATGGCGTCTATACTCAAATAAGAAAGCTTGATTGGTGCAACGTGTGATGTAACGTGAAACGTAATGAACACAATTATCCGTTGCGTAAATGTAAAAAAATGAAGGCAACAAAGGACTTTATACGGCAATTACACCGGCAAATCCTGCGAAACGAGCGTTATTAAACCGGCGAGCATTGTTGAACTTGGCTCAATAAAATAAATTGTCTTTCGTGAATTCCCAGAAATGGAGCTTCCTTATTGAATCACTGACTGCTACGTTCCAAACCGAATCAAAAGTCAAGCGCTCAGACTGTAGTAAAAATAAAATGCACATATGTTCAAAACATGTTTAACCCTTTAACGCTCGACTTTTTTATAAGCGTTTTAAGAATAAAATTTGAGTTTTTCTGAACTGAGACTGTAAGTAGTGATAACCAAAAAAATATCAGAGTTTTATATTTGGTTTTTTTTATCGTTCGTTTTTCGTTTATTGGTAAATACGACTTGGATCCTGAAAACATATACGAAATGAGCAATCTATACAGAGAGAAATGAAGAGTAATCTATACGACATAACTCTGATAGTCAGCTTGACATTTTTGAGCTGAAACTTTACTATATTTGTGAGTGAAGTTTATCATTGACTGACTACTATTTTGTGTTATCATTCAGAGCGTCAAGCTTACTATTTCAGAAGAATATCTTATAGATCACCGTTTAGATAGTCAATCGTCCCTTCATTTTTCGCCGCATAAAAAACTGGTTGGTCACCAGGTTTCACGAAAATAGGTTGATTTCTTGATTTTCGTGTCCAACATATTGGATTCGCCATTTTGAACTTCTGTATTCTTTTAATTTCACATTTTGCATCTGAGAAAGCTTCCAAATGTATAAAATTATAACAGATACCAATCTAATCATTTATGGTGCACTTCTAGATGTCAGTAACAATGCTAACTATGCCTATTTTGGAATTTGACGAAACATGTTATCGTTAAAACTGAGCTAAAAACAGACTAAACCGAATCTACATACAATCTATTATATATACCATTATATATACCATTTTTTATATGTATATATACCATTTTTTAGAAGAAGAATTCACCTTTACCTTCACCTTTAGTGGTGCAAAGAAAACGAAAATATCTCCTTTTTTGAGGATATGGATTCTTAAATGCGTTTCTGGTAACTATAGTTACCAGTAGGCGTTAAAGGGTTAAGACATGTTCCTTGCGCTTATTTAAAACATATTTAATAAGACACAAAAACAGTTAAACAAGAAAGACATGACGTTTTGTTTCTTTCTTTTTTTCTTTTTTATTTTAATTCTAAACATGTTTCTGTCATCTGTCTGTGCATCCTGATGCACGCAACACGAGCAGATTGTCCAGCCGGCTCTAACGCGAGGCTCTTTGGAACGTTTGTCGCAGGTGGATGCCTCGCTCCGCCATGAGGCCGGCCGAGGGTGACGCGTCGGATTGCATCCTGGTGGTCGGCGTATCCCGGCCGAAGGTGGCCGCCGCTTTCCTGTCGGTCGTGCTGCTGTCCCTCTTTCTCACCTTCCACATACTGTACGACAGCGCCGTTTACAGCCTCCACGCGGTCTCCGCTGTCGAGGGGCGCACCGTCGAGCTGGTCTCTCAGGTACGTGTCCGTGTCTCTCAGGTAGAGACGAGCGAAGCCTTGAGGGGTTGTTTGTTATTCGCCGCCGTTATTCTAACGATGTTCGCACGCCCGAGGACAATATCCGCTATATCCCGACTGATGGCAGGTACGCGCGACGCCGCCTCTCCTCTTCAGCAACAAGGTCCACTTTCCGCGCACGAACCGCCACCTGCCACAGGCGATTATAATCGGCGTGCGGAAATGCGGCACGCGGGCGCTGCTGGAGATGCTGTTCCTGCACCCGCAGATACAGAAAGCCGCCGGCGAGGTGCACTTCTTCGACCGTGACGACAACTACGGCAAGGGGCTGGAGTGGTACCGGCGGAAGATGCCGTACTCCTTCAAGGGCCAGATCACCATCGAGAAGAGCCCGAGCTACTTCGTGACTCCGGAGGTGCCCGAGCGGATCCGCGCGATGAACGGCAGCGTCAAGCTGCTGCTGATTGTGCGCGAGCCCGTAACCAGGGCGATCTCGGATTACACGCAGCTGCGTACGCACGCGGCGACCGCGTCCACGTTATTAATCAACGGCACACCGCAGCAGCAGCAGCAGCAGCAGCAACAGCAACAACAACAACAACAACAACAACAACAGCAATTGCAGCAGCTGCAACAGCAGCAAGTGGCGCGTAGCTTCGAGGAGCTCGTGATGCGACCAGACGGCAGCATCAACGAGTCTTACAGACCGGTCGCCATCTCCCTCTACCACACGTACATGCACCGCTGGCTGGAGGTGTTCTCCAGGGAGCAGATCCTCATAGTGAACGGCGATCAACTGATCGAGGACCCGGTGCCGCAGCTGCGCCGCATTGAAAACTTCCTCGGGCTGGAGCCGCGCATCGGCAGGCACAACTTCTACTTCAACCATACCAAGGGCTTCTACTGCCTGCGGAACGAGACGTCGGAGAAGTGCTTGAGGGAGAGCAAGGGCAGGCGTCACCCGCGCGTCAGTCCCATGGTCGTCACGAAGTTGAGGAAGTTCTTCAACGAGCACAATCAACGCTTCTACGAGCTGGTCGGCGAGGACCTCGGCTGGCCGGAGGAATAACCATCGTGGTGAGTCCCGACGTCGTCGTTCGTGTCGGCGCGACCTCCCTCCCCGTCGGCAGCGTCGCGGAGAGGCCGCCGGAGGTCCAAGTGTCCCGTCGCCGACGAGGGAGCCCCGCGGCAGCGCGTCATCGTGCGCACGAGCAGCGCCGGCCGAGCTGATCGCCGACACCGATGAGGATAAGTACTTGTTGATATCACCGATTAGCGATGTATTTATTCTCGACGGCGTCAGAGACGGCGAGGAGACCGAGGAGCCGGCCGATACTTCCAACGTAACGAGGCGCAGTCGTCGGCGTCGAGCTCAACGAGGCTGTCTCCTCCTCCGGCCGGATGCGCGCGCGAGGCGCCAACGTCGTCTCGTATCGAATGATCAAAGGCGCGTGGTAGCGTCAACACAAAAGTATACAAGACACGCACATGCATCTCGTACACACGATACATACACACACGTATACGCGCACACACACACACACACACACAAGTAAGACAGTAACGCCGGCCAAAATAAGGTGGGGGCGCGCGGGTCGGCCCGAGGCGCGACCGCCGTCCGCCTCGCGGACCCGCGCGCGCCCCACGCGGATCACCGCGTTGGTCCGTGACTTTACATATCAATTTTACATATCGATAGTTTACATATCAATAGGTTAACTAGTTGGTACGACAAAGATTGAATATTTTTATAATCCACATTGGAAGTTGTTATATCTCGCTTACGTCGTTAAGGATATTACGTAAACGCGCGCGGGAGAGAGGCGCTCTTTCGCGCTCGCGTGTGCGCACGCGATCGTAGGGAGGAGAGAGAGAGTGTAGGAGGGGGGGGGGGAAGAGAGATCGCAAGGTTATTTCTAATATTGCACGTATTCGCGCGCGCACGACTCACCATGCGGCTGTAAAACGCTGATCGTTTCTTCCCCCTTCGAAAGGGGGGACAGTCATAACGCGACCCTTCATTTTGCTCTCTTTGTCGCCGTCGCCTCTCCCGCCCCCCTCCCTCCCTCAAAGTTCGCTTCTTCCCTGGTCGCTCGTTCCCGCGTTCTCCGCCCTCTTCGTCTCTTCACGACGAAGCGAGGAAGAAGACGCGAACGCTCCTCAGCATCGGTCTCTGACACTCGATATCGGCGCGAGCGTTCCTCTGAGAACACGAAGAGAGAGTGAGAGAGAGAGAGAGAGAGAGAGAGAGAGAGAGAGAAGTAGGGTGGAATCCGACCGAGCGCGAATAAACTCGTCAGCGGCGGCATGGGGAACGCCGCTTAATCGCAAAAACCTTTATAATCGATTATTTATCTAATTTTCTAAATCCCGACGGCACTCGGCCTGGGCTTACGCTTTTATATATAAATCGTACCAAAGAGCGGGAGGGGAAGACAAAGAGAGAAAGAGAGAGACAGCCCGGGCGCGACGCGGCGCGGCGCCATGGCGCACAGAGTGCGCCGCGCGCGCGGTCCCGGTGAGGACGACGAGCGCGTTTAAAAATTCACCGTAGCCGCGCGGTACGTGCGGTTCTCCTAGCTTATTGGAAGACTCGTTAATTATTATCGCGGTCGATTAATAATTGGACTACGACGACGACGACGATGACACGGGTGCGACGACGAGCGTCACGGCGCGGCGGCGACGGAGTTGAAGGTCTCCTTCGGCTCGCGCTGCGGCCGCGCGGTTGGTGGAAATGGTGCGGTGCGGTTATCACCGGCGATTATATCGTTTTCTTCTCTTCCTCGTCCGACGATCGTCGATTCAGTCCGAGAATTCCGCGGACGTGCTCGACCGCCGCCGCGACGAGGTAGGTGTCAGCGGGTCACAGGGATGAGTAAGGAGGGGGAAGGGAGAGAAGGGTTGTAACGTGGTGAACGCGGCCTGGCGCGGCTGCTGGCGGGACGTTACGGGGAAGAGCAGATTAAAGGGACGACGATGACGACGGCGACGAGGAGGAGAGCAGGAGAGGACGGTGAGTTGTTCTCTATCGCGAGCACGCGGTATAGCAAGCCATAAATAATCCGCTTTACGGCGCAAGTGAGTCGTGCATGCGCGGCAAAGTGTAGTCCGCGTCGGTGCACCGCGCGGTTAATACCCGCGCGCGCGATAAATACCGGCTCGGTCGGGCCGCGTTTCAGCGGCTCGAAGGGAGATCCTGTGAGACGGAGGTAACAGCGCGATCCCTCAGGCAGCAGCCGGGGGGAGGGGGGGGGGGGTGCGTCAATCCCTCTTCCGCGGCTGCCGCGGTTAATCTCTAGCGGACGAGTTCGATATCTCTGAGACTGTGCGAGCTGGCTCGACGTGCGTCTCGCGCTGGCTGCTCGGCTTGCCGAGTGGCAAGTCGCCGAGGAGAGCGAGGGGAAGCTCTCGAGGGGGACGGGGGATGTTGGGACGTGTTAACGAGTCAATGAAGGATCCGGTCGAAATGACGGTCTGAAGATCGCGCTGAAGATCGAACGGCGACTTGATGCCTCGAACATTCCCTCGCGATATCTGGAAGATACGTCGACGACGTCGACGACCTGTGGCTAGCCCTTGTTTACGGGGCAGCCCCTTGGTGCACGTAAGTAAGCGTGATCAAGACACGAAATCAGAATGACAATGAGAGCCCCGATACTCACCAGAGAGATTATATGAATTAGATGAGATATAGATAAATGTAAATAGACAGGTAAATAAGTTAATTGAATGCGATCTAGCCGATTATCTTTTGCTCACGTCATGCTCAAGTTGAATCGATGTACGCACATGTCGACTCGACTCGAATATGAGCCCGATTAGATCATCAATAATCGGTCGACGCATCTGTCTGATATCTTCCAGATATCAAAGCTATATTTATCGATCGACGATGACGACGTCGGCGCGACGTGTCAGCCGCGGCGGCTGATATATCAATAAAGAAAATCCCGTCGCTGTGAAAGCGAGTGGCCCGAAAAATCGTCCTGCTGATATCGATTCAACCATCGACCTGCGGACCCTTACTTTACTTTCGGTCTTCGGACCGAGCTGGAGCTCTCGACTCGCTCGGTGGATTCGTTCGTTTCCCTCCGCGCGCGCTTTTTCCTCACGGACGAAGCGCCCGCTCGCGCGCCGTTAATTACCTCCGCCGCGCCGCAACTTGCTTCCCCGCGCGCGCGCACTTTCGATCAGCCCGGTCGGCGAGTTAACGTGTCAGGCTTCCCGACGACGATAATTTCGAGGATAACTGCGAGCACGATCCGAAACGCTCTCAAAGACGACGCGCCGCGCGACTATGTAGTTTGTCGCGTTTTCCTCATCGCGCGCATCCTTTGATCTCACGCCTGCCTCTTGAGGTCTCAGCTGTGCGCTCGCGCAAGTTGCAATTTCCCCGAGCAAGCCTCGGCTCTCCGCAAGATTCGCAGTTCTGCTGCGGCGCATTCGGTACGCAAGTCCCTCGCGGTTAATACCGGAAAAGCAGGGGGAAAGAGAGAGAGAGAGAGAGAGAGAGAGAGAGGGGCATCCTGATGTTCCGCCACGATCATCATGCAGCTTCGGGCGGTTTCCGAACTTTCCAGACTTTCTCCACACGTTGGACGCTATACTCTTCGCGCCAAACAAGTCCGCCGCGTACATGTTAGTGTCCGACAATGTTGTCCTCCGGTTCTGCAATAACGTCGTGTGTCAACGCCGCGGTACCACAAACCACTCTACAAGTGACGATATCGTGAGGAACAGTGAGGTTAATGAAATAATATGCGTGGAAAATTATATTTATTTGAATTTATTTCAATTTATTTGAATTTATTTGAATTTATTATTTACTGGTTTCGGCGGAAACTTAAAAATTCAAGTCATTATTGAAGAACTGGCGTAGGACGGAAAGACGGCGGGTCAGATTTCACATTACTATACTACGGACGCGAGACTTCCGGCCGACGATGAACATCCTTCGATCCTCGACTCGCATTCTCCGACGAGCGTGCCTCTCGTGCGTTTCCCCGCCGGAAATTTTCGCACCGGGTCACCTCCGCGGGCGCAATTAGTCGTGTATTTTCAAGAACGGCCGTCCCCGATCGCCAATTGTCGCGATTTTCCCCGGCGAGGATTCGCGAACGTACGCTTTCCGCGCTCTCGATTATGATAATCAGCGAAGTGGGAGAGAGAGAGAGAGAGAGAGAGATGCAACGGAAGTAAATCCGCCCGGCCGGCGAATATTTAACTGCTGTGACCCTAATAGATCCTCCGTCGAAACGTCTATTCCCGCAGCGCCGTGTCGTTAAAATTACGCCGCGGAAAAATATCATCTCCAGCCGGCGCAAGATAAATATTGTTCCTCTCTATCTCTCTCCGCGTTTCTGCACAGGTAAAAGTTTGATCCTCTACGCGGGCGCACGCGATGACGATACTCTCGTCTCTCTCTCTCTCTCTCTCCCTCTCTCTCCCTCTCTCTCTCTCTCTCTCTCTCTCTCTTCCACCCCCTCGGCTCCGGTCCTCCTCGGCCGTTCACCCCGACTTTAGCGGAGTTAACACCCCCCTCGTTGCCCCTCGGCGAGTGCGATTTTTCTCTCTTCTCTCACTCTCCGCTATCTCTCCGTTCCTCCCACTCGCGCTCTTTTTTCCGACCCGCTCGTTTTTTCTTTCGACATCCGGCCGATCTACGGGGATTCCGAACGCGCGCGCGCGCGCAGTCTTTTCATCCGCGCGATGTGTTTGCGAACGTCGAAACAAATATTTCTAACCGGCCGGAGTTAGCGCGCGGGAGCCCCTTGTAAATACGCCGCTTGATCCGCGCGCGCTTCCCGATTGAAATATAACGGCGAGAGAGAACGGCGGGGGGAGCTGGGAGCGATACGCCGTATCGAAAACGGTGGGCACACTTATTCGTCACGCGTACCGTGCGCGCGGAACGATATCTGTCGTCGTCGTTTTGCGGCTGTAACACACACACACACACACACACACACGCGCGCGCGCACACACATACATTCACAGCCACGTCTACATCCGGCCGCAGCCACAGCCACAGCCGGGGGGCCGCTAAAGCAGGTAGAAATTGAATCGGGGTCTTTCAGGAAACAGTTGGCGGCGGCGGAGCCGCGGAGCGACTCTTCGCTCCCCGACTCTCGCCGCCCCCGCCCCTTCGACTGATCGATATTGCTCGCCATTCACGCGGACGTCCGACGAGAAATGTACGCAGATCCGGCGGATCCCTCCTGTCCCTTTCGTCTCCATTACGAATGCACCCTCTCTGGAACGGCGGCCGAGATGAATATGTATTTTCTCCTGCCGAGAGAGAGAGAGAGAGAGAGAGAGAGAGAGAGAGCGCGACCGCCCGCCCGCCACGCGAAAGGTACTGAAAATTGATAAAGACCGACCGGCGGAACAGAGTGTTCCCAACTTTATCCTTCCGGATAACAAGGAGCCGCCGACGCGCGCGCTTCCTCGGGCTATCTCGCGCGCGCGGAGGACGACGAGGCTGTCGTCGACGGGCGGGGACCCTGTCGATACCGGCAGGAGTCCTTCCTCTTGCGGACGCGTCTCCCTCTCATTTTTCGTTTACGTCTTCTCTGCGAATTTCGTGACGTACGTGAATGAAGAAACGAGCCCCAACGAGCGCGCGCGCGCGCGAGAGAGAGTGAGAGAGAGGAAGGGAGGGAGGGAGAGACGCTTCTTTTCGCGTGTGATGAATATGCATTTTATGCAAAACGCATCCGCATTCACCAACTTAAGTCGAGGAAGGAGAGGAGCGGAAGTGCGCGCGATGCTTCAGCGGAAAGGGGAGCTTCCGTCTAACGATCTTGCCCCCCGTCCCCTCCCTTCTCACTGTCTTTCTTGAAAAA